AATTGGCTTCATTTAAAGTTGGTATTATAAACATGCATGTCAGTTTAGTAACATGTACTGAATGCATCCGAGTTTCTGTACTAGTTATTCATAGTTGCAGATTTATGCTGGTTTCTGTTGTTGCTCGAGTATTCTTTAGATAAGCGTGGTGTTAAATGTGGTCGTCCCTGTTGTCAGGTGCACCTGTCTGCGAAATATAAGGGACAACGAGGAGAAGGATTCCGCATTCAGAGGAATTTGCACTATGATTAGTGTAAATCCAGGAGGTGTAGTGCAGGTGAGATGCAGTAGAGAGATGACTGTGTGGACACTTTGTTTTTAATGACTCTGGAAGCTGAAGCATCGCCTTATTTATTTTCTCTGGAACAGGATTTTATATTCTTCTGTGATGCAGTGGCTTCCTGGGTCAATCCAAAGGATGACCTCAGAGACATGTTCTACAAGGTAAAAGCTGAAAAACACTAACAATAAAAATCGCTGAATAAATTCCGTCAGTTTTGCCTGGTTTGAGAATTTGCACTCAGGCTTTAATCCATTTATTGCTTATCAACAGTTATTGCTGCTCCCTAGTGACCAAATTCAGGAATGGCAGCTTTTGCACTTGACACTTTAAAATGCACAGGATTTATTTTGAAAAGCACTCCTCAGTATAAACATCTCGTGGTGTTTAATTTCAGATCCTTCATGGGTTTAAGAACCAGGTGGGAGACGACAACTGGAGACGCTTCGCAGATCAGTTTCCAATGCCACTGAAGGAACGGTTGGCAACCTTTTATGGGGTGTAACTGTTTCCACAGCACGTGCCTCATCGTTGGGGTTGGTACCACTCTGAAAATAATTTTTATTATTTAACCCAAAATGTTGTATTCTAATCAGGGTTTTCTCTATATACAGGTCATTCACTATGGGAGACAATATCGGGAACCATCCCAGGGAGCATGTTACCCTTTACTGGGGGGAAGGATCTGCCTGCTGAGGGAAGGGGAAGGGGTGCTGACCCCCCCTCCTTGACCTGGTGGATGGGGTGGGAGGGAGATGATAGCTACAGTTCTCAGTGCCCCTATGCACAGACAAAGGGGCAAAAGGGACTGGCAAGACAACCTTATCACTGGAGGAAAATTCATCTAATCATATCTGAATCAGAAGTTGTAGTTTGTTGGGTTTTTTTTGTTTTGTTTTGGGTTTTTTTTGCTTTTTCCTCTCCATTTATTCTCCAAACATCTTGTTTTCTGGACTACTGAGAAGAAATGAATGTGGAAAAAATTGAGAAATCTTTACAAAACCCTGTACTTTTTGTTAGACAAGGAGAAATGTAGGTCTTCTGCTCAATATGCGTTTATAAGAGTAAACGAGAAGTATTATGAAGTAAAGCTGAAGGTGTTTTGAGACACATTTCCTGTAAGTACAGAGATGGTTTAAAGTTCCTACAGAAAAAGCTGTTTTGTCACAAGGGAGCACATAGTTTTTGTTTTTTTTAAATGAGCAGCTTTTCTGAAAAATGGGTAGCATGTGTATATCATTGTGGAAAAGCTGTAGTGAAATGTGTTGACAGCTGTTGTTGAGCTTTGATAAGGTTCTTTTTTTGGGTCTTGTATTTACAGTACTCATGTTTTCTTCTACTGGAGATTTACGGCAATCAGCTGTAATGTAGCATGACGGGCTTTACACACACTGACTTAGGAAAATGTGTAAAATCTTGGCTGTGGCGTGATGTCCGAGTGAATCATTGTTTGGTCTTGTGGCGTGAATGTGACATGGACATCTATCTGCAGGCATATCAAAGCTTTAGATGCTTACTTTATCCTTTTATATTGTCTGAGCCTCGGAAAGGACAAATGAAGGAGAAGCATGCAGGATAACAAGATCCTGTTTGCTGATTATTGTGTCATTGTGTTTTGGACGTAAATATCACAATGGCACAAATACTGTCTCAGTGATTTGGTTTTTGTTTGGTTTTTTTTGCCTTTTTTCTTCTGATTTTTTTTTTGACTTTGGTTGTCAGAACCATATAAACCATCAAATCAATGTTAACTATGTTAATTTCTCAATGTACTGATGTTTTTGTTATTGGTTGTTGGAATTTTTGTGCTAAAAGCATGATCTTGAGGATGACTTTCTAATGTTTTGGGTGGTTGTCACTGTGGGGTACTTTCATCTTTTGCATGTTGGTGGCCCCTTACACCCCAACTTAAAGTGGGAAGGTTGCAGGAGCTTCAATCAAGTTTTGGTTTTATTTATTTTTTTATATAGCAACCATTTATGTTCAGCATCACTGTGACTTTTAAAGACTTCACAGTAATCTTGCTGGAGTGTTCTCTTCCTCACCTTTCACCTATAGTTGGATATGTAGATTTTAAATACTGTGAAATTACATGTTGTTGTCTTCTTGTGTTGCAGTGTTATGTTTTTTTTTGTTGTTGTTGTTGTTGGTTGGTTTTTTGTTTGGTTTTTTTTTTGTTGTTGTTTTTTTAAATCTATATGTTTAAGTTGCAGATGGCCTGAATGTATTCCATGATGGATTTTTATTTTATTTTTTTTATATTATTGTTTTGTTTAATTTTAATTTTTTATGCCCATCCATTCTTCCTCTGCTGGCCAGAGTAATAACTGCAGTATTTAAATCCTTTGTGATGCACCTAAAATGTACTTACTTACTTACCTACTTACTTAGCAAGTGCTTAAAATGAATGATGTAGCCAAACACTTTAGAATATGACCTGACAGGTCGTTGAGCATTGCTGCTAAAATGTGTGGACCTTAATGCATTAAGCATCTTGATCCAATTGGGATATTAGAGTGTAGAAGTAGTTTAATGTGTTAGCTCAACTGCCACATTAAGAAATGTATTACTAATCTTAGATTAAACATTTTTTGAGGACATACACGGTGAATGCAGGTTATAATGCATCATGGAATACAGAGGCAAATATTTGTATGTGTCACATTATTATGTGTTTAGAAGTGATTTTTGTCTTGTCACATTCCAGCTGTTTGGCTTGCAAAAATATGAAGTAATCGCAGCTTGACGGGGTGGATGTGCACACACTTCTGTTCTTTCTTCAAAAGATAGTAGTTCTACAAAACACACAACAATCCCAATTACTACTGTGCTATAATTTTGACGTAACTGCTGCTATACATTGTACTTGTTTCACTATATGAATATGTTTTTGTGTTAACCTCAGGTTGTG